ATTTCTATGGAGGAGGGGTTTCCCCACAACTAGGAGCAATTCTTTGACACCAGCTGGGTAGCCACAATTTAAATCAATCCTGACACCATTACACGTTGATATCATCAGATTCCACCAGTGGATGGCTCAGGCCTGCAAGACTGCCCTCCCCCACCCACTTCAGATACCTGTCGCAGGTATTACCAGTACCTCTGATCAAGTGGTTATAAACCCAAATTCCTCAAACCTCTCTTTAGATTCCACTAATTTGCTAAAGCTGCTCACAGAACTCAGGGAAACATTTTACTTACTGGATTACTGGTTCATTATGAAAAGATACACATGAACATCCAGATGAAAGAGACACACAGGGAAGGTGTGGGGAAGAGGGCAGGATCTTCCATTCTTTGAATTCAAGCCACTCACCCTGATTCTCCACTTGCTCACCAACCCAGATCTCCCAATCCTGTCCTTTAGGGCTTTATGAAGACTTTTTACACTGGTGTGGTTGATCGCTACAAACAATCACCACTTCCCCTCCCAGGAAGCTAACAAGATAAAAGCCCCATCCTTAGGAGGCCGAGGGGCATTCCAAAAGTCACCTCGTTAACATAACAAAAGATGTTACCTCTCACCACTCAGGAAATTCCAAAAGTTTAGAACTTCTGCTAGAAATGGGAGTAAAAACTAAATCTGTTTTTCTTATTCTCAATCACGATATCACAAGTGAGTTAGTACATTAAGGTAACATTAGGTCTAGGCACTCATTTGAATGGAGCCGAAGGGACCAGATATACAGAGACAGCTCCCAGCTGTTGCTCCTCTCTCTCTACCTGGAATGCTCTACCCAGAGATATGCTCATCCAGGCAGGCCTCTGCTTACTCATCACACTTCATCTCCTGACTTTGCAGCATTTGACTTCACAGCACTTTGAGCACAATACAGCCCATGCACCTGATACATACCACCTACCTGACCATCATTGTTGCATCCCCTATTCATCAAGGAGAACAGGGACCTTCAATATGCTTGTTCTGTTACCCACTCTGTCTATGGAGAATCCTCTCAACCCCCCGCACCTCTGGCCTGTACCCCGGTTCTTGTATGCATAAATAAATAACTCTTTAGGTTTTTTTTTTTAAAGATTTTTATTTATTTATTTATACAAGAACCAGGGTACAGGCCAGATGCACGGGAGGCTGAGAGGATTCACCAGAGACAGAGCCGGGAACAGAACAGGCAGACTGACGAAATACACTGCTGAGAGGAGCAGCGGGCGAGACAGGAGAGGTCTGCTGCGCCATGTGGGACCCTTGCTAGCCGACCAGGATCGAACCGGCGCTGCAGAGGCTGTGGACAGCTCCACAGTGCTGTGCTCAACCACCTGCGCCACCAGGGGAGGCCCTAAATAAATAAATCTTTAAAAAAAAAAAAAAGGAGAACAGGGACCTTGTCTTATTCCCAGACAAGCCAAGTACATAGTTGTCTCCCAATAAAGGTTTGTTCATTTTTTTAAAGCACACAAGGAAAGGGCCTCCCTTGGTGGCGCAGCAGTTGAGCGCTGGGCTGCGAAGCTGCCCGCGGCCTCTGCAGCGCCGGTTCGATCCCCAGCCACCGGCGAGGGTCCCACATGGCGCACAGACCTCTCCTGCCGCCCGCTGCTCCCCTCAGCAGTGTACTTCGTCACTCTGCCTGTTCTGCTCTCCTCTCTGGCTCTGGTGAATTCTCTCACCCTCCTGCGCTTCTGACTGTACCCAGAATAAAATAAAATAAATAATAATAAATAAATAAATAAATAAATAAATAAATCTAAAGCACACAAGGAAATATAACACAGGGCACTGCTCTCAAGTAGTTTACCCTTTCAGAGAAGGTGCAGGACACAAGTTTAAAATGTTTAGTCACTTTTGGGGCCTCCCTGGTGTACAGGGGTTCTCAGTATTATCAAGCTAGCCAGCCACTGCCCAAGAGTTCGATCCCTGGCCAGAAAGCTAACCCACATGGTGCAGCAGACCTCTCCTACCTCTTTGCAGCTCCCTTCTGCAGTGTTTCAGTAGATCCACCTATTCGGCTCCTCGCTCTGTATCTGGTGAATCCTCTCACCCCTCCCCACCTCTGGCCTACACCCCAGTTCTTATATGCATAAGTAAATTTGAAATAAATAAAAATGTTTAGTCATGTTAAGCCAATGGTAGGTGACTTGCTTCTGAGTATCCAAAAAGGCATGCCCATCCTTCGCCCATGCAATGCACATTCGTAGGGAACCTGGGGCCAAAAAGTTAAAAGCTAGCAAGGTCAAATACAGGCAAAGGTGGATTCTGAGGAAAGTAAATGACAGAGACTGAGGAAAGAGTGATTGTGCAGGGGTTGGCGAGCATGTTCCCAGAGAGAACAGAACCTTTGTTGGCCTTGAAAGCAGTGGAAAATTTGGTAAATTTTGGTGGTTCACACTGGGAGATTTTGCATATGCATGTGTCATGCAGCCAAATTATTAACACTCGGGGATCCACATTTAACCCTGCTTCCCATCTGTGACAGCAGTATGACACAGTACACTGCTTCCCGTTGCTCTCCTAACAAGCCCACTGGCCAAGAGGAAAAGGATAAAAGTCCCAACAGAGATTCACTTAAAAGTGATAAAGTCAAAGAAGGATTGTTGCAGAAATAAATTCTATCCTTCTACCAAGGCAGAGGAAGAACAAGCCTTCAGGAATGGTGAGGTCAGGAGAAGCTTTATTACACATGCATGAGGTCCCAGACCTGGGTAGCCCCATAAGGTCTGAGCACCAGTCTAGGGACAAAGGGTTTCTTTTATACATTGATAACATCGGTCAGTAAGCACAAAAGTTTGTGAAAAAAGACAGGTATTTGAGGATGCCCTGGGAGATCAATCAGCCTGGCCGGCTGTCTGGCCTTATTAAAATGTAACCTCATTTAGGTAATCTCATCTAGATAGGTTTTAGAGAAGCAAAACTTGTTGTTTACATTTACTTTGCATTAGATACTGCACCAGACCTATGACTCTTTTAGCAGGAACAGGAGAGATTTCGTTTGCTTAGCGGTTCCCTTTCAAGATCACAAACCGTGTATAAATCTAGAGGTGGTGGGTAGGATTGGTGGAATGCGCAGAAAACTAAGGTAGCTGGGAGAGCACAGCACAGAGCTCTGAGTTGGAGGGTGATGAAAAAGGCTGAAGGAGAAAGGAGCCCCAATAAGAGTGTAACAGGGTGGTCCCCAGGGAAAGGGAAGGTTCCAGGTTCCCTGCCCCACCAAGGAAGGGTGGAGCTGAGCTAGGAGGAGGGAAATCTAGAGAGGAGACTGAGAGTAGGAAGGAAGCAGGAAAGAGAGCCAGAAGGAGACTTGGAGAAGGCACAGGGAGCGGAGACATGTGAGGAAGCTGTGCTTGCTTTTCGGCCTTGGACTTGTACCAGGAACTTAGGGGACGTGGAAGGAGACACTTGAAACAGACATGGATGAGAGACCTGTGGGGAGGTTAACAATGACAGCCTTTATCTTGATTTTGTTCTTTTCCTTCCAGACTTGTCTGGCCCCTTCTGCCCCTTTCCTAAGGATACCTACCAGGAGGTGCCTTAGACTTGTGGCAGGCTTTCAGGCCTCAGTGGTCCTGCTTTGGGCCAACCCCGTTTGGCTGGACATTTACCCACAAGGAGATGGGTAACTATATTTGATTTGAAAACTATATTCTTTGTCTTTGCCTTCTCATTTATTTATTGCACACTAATTGTATTAAAATTCCTTTCCATTAAAGGTCTTACACAATAGAGTGTGTTTTACTTTGATGCGGCGGACGAAAGAACCTATTTAAAGCAGGCTGATTTAGGGGTTCTGGGGTGCCCCTCACCCTGCCCTATAACAAATACTGTGGTGTGTGTTCATGAACTTCCTTAATATGAGAGGCACCTTCTGTGGGACAGGCACATGCATCAGTGTTTACTACTCTATGCCTTCATCTCCTCCTCAATAAAAATGGAGATAAAAACAGCACCTAACGATAGGGTTGCTGTGGAGATGAGATTGTAACAGGGTGGTCCCCAGGAAAGGGGGAGGTTCCCTGCCCCACCCAAGGGAGGGTGGAGCTGAGCAGGAGGAGGAGAAGCTGCAGAAGAGACTGAGGAAGGAGCAGGATGGAGCCAGGAGACCTGGAGGAGGCGCATGGAGCCTAGAGACACGTGAAGAAACTCTGCTTGTCTTTTGGTCGTGGACTGGGTGACACAGATGTGGGTGAGACCCGTGGAGAGGTGACCATGGCAGCTTTTATCTTGATGTTGATTTTGTTATTTTCCTTCCGGGCTTGTCTGGTTGTTTCTGACCCTTTTCTGTGGGTCTCCACTGGAAGATGCTTTAGACTTGTAGCAGGCTTTGGGGCCTTGTTCTGGGCCAATCCCATTTGGATGGACTTTTACCCACGAGGGGACGGGTAACTCTGGATGCTTCATTTAGAAACTAGACTCTTTGCCTTACCTGTATTGTTTCCTAGTTTAATTAAAGTTCCTTCCCATTAAAGTCTCATATGTTTTGTGTTGATGCGGCGGATGACAGAACCCATTTAGAATAGGCAGGTTTGCAGGGTTTGGGCTGCCCCTCTCCCTGTCCTATAACAAAATGAGTTACTGTCTAGCATGTAAGATTATATTCATTATGAGGATTTCTGGGTGAAGCCTATTTTTTTCAATGCTACTTTGTCCTACTGGCCTATGTGGATCACAGTTTTATAAATTCAGGGTTTAAGATTTTATGTCATCAACAGACAGGCCAAAAGAGAAGGTTCAGTGTTGGGAAAAAGTTAGACAAGTTATTACGAGACTATCAGAGGCCCTACGCACCCAGCTGAGCACTCTGGTCTTTCACTTGTCCCTCATGTCTGCAGTCAAGTACTGTGGCTCTCACTGACTGGAAAGATGAAATTACTCTGAGGTAAAAGAAACCTAAGTGACTTTCAATGAACACCTTACCGTGTGCAGGTCTCCGACTAGCCTAGGCTTGCAGTGGGGGTACTCACGGTTCTGGGGTGTAGAGGGGATCAGACCCATGCCGGATGTACTGAGTACAGTGGAACACTCTGTAGGCCAATCCTGCCAGGAAGTCTCTCGGACTCAGATATCCAGCCACTGGCCTCACCGTGAAGCCAGACCTTTCTAAAGAAGCAACAGAAAGAGTAAACTGAGTATTAACCTGATTGAGGGCTTGAGGGCTCAAGGAGGGCTTCCTATTTACACAGATGTTCTAGAAATAAAGTAATCTAGATCTCAAAACTAGAGACAATTGAATGACATATGCTGTTAACAGCTATCACGTTGCTGGCTTCTGATGACTAAAATATACTCTGAAATGATGGTTTCCAGGGAAATGAGACATACATTAAAATGGAAAGAAAGGTGGAAAAAAATGTAAGGATTTAAATTTAGAACCCAAATTAGGATAAGAAACCACAGATCCACAGGAGATTACAATCTAAAGCAACACTCTTTCTGAAAGACACAGGTAGGGATTCCCTTTGCATATCTGTGGTCAGTAACTAGGCAGTTAATCCACTTCCTTCACTAGCATTTTGGAATCAGTTCATATTATAGCTTGTTATGATACATACCACCTAGCTGCTTTCTATGCTGTTGTTTTCTGTGATATTATGAAAACAATCATATTAATCATGGCAATTGGAAGAGGCACACTAAAGCTCCATCTCTATGCTCTGTTAGTTTTTGGAAGAAGAACCAAAATAAGCAGAACACCACAAAATCTACGCAATCAGCTTACACTGCCAACTCAAGTATGTTGTAAGTCCTCAGTGTTTCAGTTCAAGAGCTACCTGATGCTTCATTCTCCTGAAGACTTGAAAATTTTACAACAGGAAAGCTGGTCTTCTCTCTGGCACCAGCATTTAAAGTTTCCTATTCTGAAATCTCAAGTCATGAGGAGAGTACCTCAGAATGGTTCGAAATGGTTTTTAAAGACAAAAAGTAATTAAGATTATAATACAAGTCCATCCTGGGATTTCTGGAGTCTCCACTGATCAGTAATTCTAACAGTATTGTGTTCATTCTTGAAACTTCCACTTTCTATCATTCCCCATTCAATATAGAATAGCCAAGTGTGTTTTCTTCTTTTTCTATCTTATATTTGTCAAGTTAGTATATCCCACATGTGGGACATAGAGGTAGTATACTATTAAAATGTTTCATTTTAATGGTTATGAAATTTTATATAATTTTCTAAAATATGCAACTATCATGTCAAGAACTTTGAATTTGTGGATAGCATTGTTTAAAATTTTCCCTTTTTTAAATAAGTTAGGTATTTTTAAGTGAATCATTTAAGAAAAATAAGAACACATACATTCACATTGTGTTCGCTAAGTGCCAGTAATGAGGCAAACACATCCCCTGGCATCCGGTCACCAAGGATTACGAAAACAACAGCAACAATAATCATTAAAACTAAGGCTCTGGGCCTCCCCAGTGGCACAGCGGTTGAGCGCTGGGCTGCAAAGCTGCCTGCAGCCTTTGCAGCACCAGTTCGATCCCCAGCCTCTGGCAAGGGTCCCACATGGCACACAGACCTCTCCTGCTGCACTCACTGCTCCCCTCAGCAGTGTACTTTGTCAGTCTGCCTGTTCTGCTCCCAGCTCTGGCTCTGGTGAATTCTCTCACCCTCCTGCACTTCTGACTGTACCCAGTGCTTGTATAAATAAATAAATAAACCTTTAAAAAAATTAAAAAAATAAATAAAACTAAGGCTCTATTGTGCTTCAAGTGGATTGAGCAATAACCAGAGCTATGAGACAGAGTATTCATTTTACTCCCAACCACTTTGTGAGGTACATAAAATTATCTTCCTCAGAAGAAACTGAGGCACAGAGAGTTTAAGGCAACAAGTCTCATGACACACAACTAGGAATTGGGGGTCCTCCTTGATGGTGCAAGTGGTTAAACACAGCACTATGAAGCTATCCACGGCCTCTGCAACACAAGTTCAATCCCTGGCCAGGGAGATACCTACATGGCACAGCAGACCTCTTCTGCCTCACCTGCTGCTCCCCTCAGCAGTGTATTTCAGTCAGTCTGCCTGTTCTGTTTCCTACCGTCTCTGGTGAATCCTCTCACCCCCTGCACCTCTGGCCTGTACCCCAGTTTTTGCATGCATAAATAAATCTTTAAGAAAAAAAAAAACTAGGAACTAGAAGAATGGGGACTCAACCCAGACATTTTGCAACTAGAGTTAGTGCTGTATCATACCACTGACTCTAGTTGACAAATATGGCAAAAATTGTGAGGTGGTAGTCTAATTACTGGGACTTGAGAAACAACGCAGTAAAAATGCTATCCCCATACACAAGCAATCAAGTCCACCATAAAGATGGAATATGCATAGAAGCCCATGGGCATCAAGAGGGTAAGTCGAGGTAGAGCCATGAGGGAGAATATAATCCAGTTTACCAACAAGAAGGCAATGCAGTTTGTAATTAGGTGCTAATTAAAGGATGCTGATCAGAGATTCTCAACCTCTTTCCATCACAAATACTGAGGATGCTGTTCACCACAGGGACCCTCCTACCACAACAGGCAAGGTCCTCAGGGTAAGACCATGCCTCATTGCCTCCTGGTATATACATGATCTGGAATGAAGTCAGAGATGGCAGAGGTCATGCTGGCTATGCTGATTGGGATTCACAGAGAAGAAAGGACAGGACTTGTTCTGAATCTTGAAGACTAGGTAGAATTTCAGTAGGTGGAGAAGGGATAACTTTTCTAGCAAAAGACATGGCCTAAATAAAGGCCCAGAGAGCCCACAGCTAACTAAAGCAGAGGCTTTCTGGGCACGGGAGAAAAACTTGGAAAGTTACATGGGTCATTAGTGTTCAACATTGTCCGTGATATTTTTAACAAAGCAAGTAAAGTCAGCTTACCTATGTAGCTTACCTATGCAGCATCAGAAAAAACTCAAAACCTGAACTTGCAAATAAGCATTGGGGTTTTACCATATGTGACCTACCAAGTCCCAGAGCTACATAAACAACTGAGTCTATCTCTGCTTGCTGCAGTGGCCCTGGTAGTTATTGATTCAATGCTCCTCTTTTTTTTTTTAAGATTTATTTATTTATGCATACAATAGCTGGGGTGCAGGCCAGAGATGCAAGGGGTGAGAGGATTCTCCAGAGACAGAGTGGGGAATAGAACAGGCAGATTGACTGAAATACACTGCTGAGGGGAGCAGCAGGCGAGGCAGGAGAGGTCTGCTGCACCATGTGGGTCAGCTCCCTGGTTGGGGATTGAGCTCGTGCTGCAGTGGCAGCAGATAGCTTCATAGTGCTGATGCTTAACCACTTGCACCACCAGTGAGGCCCCAATGCTCCTCTTTTGAAATCAAAAGTTTTTCCCCTTTTGGGAAAAGGGCCTTTGCTGCAACATGAATCTTTAGAAAACAAATGAGGATGTTGGCTGGGAAGAGACAGCCTGTAGCCCTTACCTTTCAGAAACACAGACACATCTTCAAGTTGAGGTACATTGTCCTCCCTGTAGCCACAGTATTTAGTCAGCAGAGGGAAGTTTTTCAAATACTCCCGGCAAGCGTGCGTGGGGTAGAGTTTGGAGAGCTCCCGGAACACAACACCCCAAGTTTTCGTTTCTTCCTCGGTATACTCCACCCTGGGGATGGGCTGACCACTGGGCAGGAGAGAAGATAAATGAGAGCAGCTCGCTTCAGATCAAGGAGTTAAGAGTGTTCTCATCCTTGTACTTATCAAAGTCAGATTTCTGTAATGAGGGACACCTGAGTGTCTGAGAGGTTCCCATTTGACATTTTTTTTAAGATTTTGTAAATTTTTATTTATATATATAAGAGCCGGGGTACAGGCCAGAGGCATGGGAGGGTGAGAGGATTCACCAGAGACAGAACAGGGATCAGAACAGGCAGATGGACCGAAAGCACTGCTGAGGGGAGCAGCAGGCAAGACAGGAGAGGTCTGCCACGCCATGTGGGTCTCTCCCTGGCTGGCCGGGAATCGAACCTGCACTACAGAGGCTGCAGACAGCCTCACAGCACGTGGTCAACCCGCTGTGCCACCGGGGAGGCCGATATTTTTTTTAAAGTTAATGCTAGAGTCTCCCCTTGTGGCACAGATGGTTGAGCACAGTGCGGTGAAGCTGTCTGCAGCCTCTGCAGCACGGGTTCGATCCCCACCAGCCGGCGAGGGTCCCACATGGCGCAGCAGACCTCTCCTGTCTCACCCACTGGTCCCCTCAGCAGTGTATTTCGTCAGTCTGCCTGTTCTGTTCCCTGCTCTGTCTCTAGTGAATCCTCTCACCCTCCCGCACACCTGGCCTGTACCCCGTTCTTGTATAAATAAATCTTTAAAATAAAAAATAAAAAAATAAAGTTAATGCTAACCTTGTAATTTTATGTGTGTGTGTGCATGCGTGTGTGTATATTTGGACTTCCACGTAAGTGCTCTGATTATGTTCCATCTTGGCATATCCTTATGGAATTTGATAAGATTTATGTTCTTGAACTGAGATCCACAGTTGGGAAAAGTTCTGGGTTGGGAGGATTTAGCTTAGGATCAAAGCTGAGTTCCCAAGGCCTGTTCTGCATCCGCATGTGGACAGTAAGTCCTCCCCTAACGTTGTGGATAGGTGCCTGGAAACTAATTTTAAGAAAATGATGTATAATGAAAGCAGGTCCTCAAATAACGCCACTTCTTTCGACGTGGCTGGGATTTTATTTTTCCAATCGATATTATAATGAAACAACATTGCATGAAACAACATTGAGGAGCAGCTGTAAATGGATGTCTTTTGACAATAAAACTGCCTGTAGGCTCTCTCTGTCCCTAGTGGGGAGCTCACCCCAATCTACAAGTGTAATTTTAGGTTATTTGCTCAATGAGCATAATGTCTGGCAAATATTAAAAGCCTATGCTAAATGCAAAAGTGAGAGTTTTGCAAATCATGAAACAGAAGCATTTATTACACACCCTGCTGATAAGAGCTCACATGGAGCCCTTTCTGTTTAGGAGAAGAGTCAGCAAAACTGTTCTGGAAAGGTGCAGAAAGTAAACATTTTGGGCTTGCATGCCATCCAGTCTCTGTCGCAACCATTCCATGGTGTCTGGAAGGCAGCCATAAACGCTGTGTAAACAAGTGAATGTAGCTGTGTCCTAATAAAACTTTCTTCACAAAAACAGGTGGTGGATTGGAGTTGGCACACAAAAGGCATAGTCTGCTCATGCCTGCTTGAGAATATTGGGAGGTGAGCCTGGACTGCCATGTTCTGGGCAAGCTTCCTGGAGCCTGGTTGACCAGGTAGGAATTGCAGGTTCCCTGCCAGAGAGATAGTGAGGAGAAATGCTGTTCAAACAGCAGCCTGCTGCCATAAGCAGGAAACACAACACTTTCTACCAGCGGGGGGGCTGTAACAGAAGGGGGGTGTAGACATTTGTTTCTGCAAGCTAGTGCCCAAAGGCCAGGATCTGCCCCCATGGAGATGCTTATCTGAAAGTGAAATCAGGGTTTGAGAGAACCTCTCATAATATACTCAGCAGCCACCTGCAGTTCTCTCCCACTGCCCACTCTGACCACTTGTCTGAAATTCTGCCCCTGCAGGGAGCAAATAGACACACACAATATTTGGAGGTTCAAGTCTATACTTTCAAATGAAGCTCTGCCCTTGTTGTCTACACAGTCGAGCCCATAGCCCGCAGCCTTTGCAGGAGTCCACATGTAAGCAGTATCCATCACTCAAGTTGCCGCCACTGCAGGACCCCTGGAACAGGTAGGGGTCATTCTGGAGCACCATCAGAGGTAATAAAAAAGGGAGGACATTAACAAGAGAGGCTAACAGATACCCTGGCCCCTAGCTATCTGTAGTTTTCAGAGAGTTCTTACCAAATGCTTTGTTTAAATTTAAGTTGAAATGCATTTTCTACTGTCCCAAAATGTTTTTATTTTTTAAAAAATTACAGTCCATGAGGGAATGAGAGAATACACAATGAAGAAAGAACCAGAAATTAACATTTGCTTTCTCTAAGTACCAAGACTAGGGCTTACAGGAGCCAAATTAGAACAAGATTAGCCTTGTTTAAATTTGGCTGTTGATAACAAATAAAAAATTACAACCTGGCAAATATTTGCTGAGAAGATCAAGACTGCTAAGATTTAGCATCTGTGAGGAATTTAGAATGAAAGCTTGAAGTGGGAATATAAAAATAGAAAGGATATAGGAACATAAATATATAAATGCTCTACCTCCAGTTCCAGAAAATTCAACAAAATCAATTTGAGTTGGGTAAGCCAATAAAGCTAATAAGGGTTGTGCACAATCAGAAGGTAGGGAAGCAGTGAAGCCGAAACAATAAATGAAATATTGAGGAGCTATTTGAAAAGAATCGTTAGGTCAAACTTTTCCCTTCAATATCAATCTGCAAACATGCTGCCTTTCAAAGAGGAGCTGAATAAGCCAACAGGAAGCAGCAGAAGGAAAATAAAGTGGAAAGGAAAATAAGGTGAGTTAGGGTGGGCAGCAAGATCTGCTACTTAATAATGACTTTTCTGCTTTGCAACCCTGAGACTGTGGATGGCTCCATATATTCTCAATGTTTGAGCTTGGCTGTCCTGCCTGGAGAACTAACTAGCCTGATCTTTGAGTCAAAAAAATGGCGGGCGCTGGGTACTGCAGCCACCCTAGTCTACGGTAAGTCTGACTAGAGCAAATCAAGAAATTTCTCACAGAAACAACCTGCTCTAACCCCTTAGTAACTCCCAGTATCTAAGGTAGATATTTAAAAATCAACTTCATTACAAAGTAAAAACTAGTTTCAACCATTCAATTTCTATCAAAAATATCTAATTATAGAAAAATACAAAATTTTTCATTTTTCTATGTAATTCCTATGTACTGATTAATTTTATGTAATTAATATGTAACAGGTCATTTTTTTTTTTTTAAGATTTTTTTTTTTAATAGAGGCATGTTTTTTTATTTATTTATTTGTTTGTTTGTTTGTTTTGTTTATACATGCACTGGGTACAGTCAGAAGCGCAGGAGGGTGAAAGAATTCACCAGAGCCAGAGTGGGGAGCAGAGCAGGCAGAAGGACCAAAGTACACTGCTGAGGGGAGCAGCGGGCGGCAGGAGAGGTCTGCGCGCCATGTGGGACCCTCCTCCGGTGGCTGGGGAGCAGCCGGGGATCGAACCAGCGCCACAGAGGCCGCGGGCAGCTTCACAACCCAGCGCTCTACCGCTGCGCCACCTGGGAGGCCCGTAACAGGTCATTTTTGAGACATATGTCACTTTGTGAAGCCTCAGTGTTTTTTTATGAGTTAAGGCATATGATTCTCCACACAACTCCATGAGGTAGATACTATTATTATCCCCATTTTAAGATTAAGAAGTTGAGGTTCAGAGAGATTGTGCTATTTGCCCCAAATCATGGAGGCAGTCATAAAGTCCAATCAGACGGAGTCAAGACTGTCTTCATAGATTAACATACACCAATGAAATAAAAGTTTCATTCCAGATACCAACTTATTTTCACATAAAAGCTGAAATAAGGTATTTGTTAGACCACATCAAGCATTTTCTATTTATTCATTCATGTATTCTTGTCAATAATTCCGGGAGGTGGTTCTGGGTTCCCCACAAAAATAAACCTGTGCTTGGAAACAAGGAATGCTGGAGCAGTTGCATAATTTTTTAAACTCTGAAATTTGACATTTAGAAAAATAAAAGTTGTAATCATGGAGGAAAATCAAAATGTGTTGGACTTCTCTGTGCTTGCTATGTGCTGCTGAGTTTTGTCAATTGTCTATGAAAAGGAGGACAGAGGGATGTCCTGACGTTTTAAGGGTCTATGCTATGTATCCATATACCAGAGGCCTCTACCCATGGGTACTCGTTATAATCTGTATGTAACAAACATCATGTTTCTGCATCCTGAAACTCTACTCTGACCCAAAACTTAAGTCACCTGAGTTTTTGGCATTCTAGAGAAAGACCTCAGCAGTTGGAGCCCCCCCCAAAAAATGACCTTACCATCCACAAACTCCTCTTCTGTTACTTCTTAGGAACTGGGCTCAAGAAGGGGGAAGAAAAGGTATCTCAGAACTAGAATACCCTCAGACACACACACCCACAGAGCTATATACATACACAAACCCACATATACTTTAACATGTACACATTCACATAGTACACATGTATACATACAAACGTGTGTATATACAATAGGCATGTATTTACATGCACACACGCTCGCACATATGCACATTCACACAGTATACCCACATACCCACAAAACACATGGATACACACAATTTACATGCACACATACACACATGTACACATACTTCCAAATAACTGTAGGAGATACACTTGGAAACAAGTTTGCAATTAATCTTTTTTCAGATGAATGGACCTTGGTATTAAATAGCCAAAAGAGACTATACTAATAATTGAAAATAACAGGAAATTAGATGTTGCTAAGGAACTTGCTTCCTGGCAGGGAAGAAAAGATTCAACACAATACGGTAGAAAGCAATGAGTGGGGAAAAATAAAGCCATTTATGTTGGAATAAACCCCAACAAGATGAGATGCTCCACAAACTAATACATGTAAGTATTATAATTAGACCTCTGGGGAGTCTCTCTATGTATATGGAATTAGTTGG